TTCAAGCTCTTTTTGGTACAACACACAATCATTAGGGCATGTATGTATTTTTTTTATACTTCATACCCTTGGACATAAGATCTTCTTGGCATCATAATAATAATTTGGTAGCACACTTCCTTTTGGCAATATTATTTGAAGTAACTCTAGCAACCAAGTGAAACTTTGGTCAGTCCACCTAGCTCTTGCCTTTAAGGCAACCAGTTTTAACACCTTAGATAACAAACTAAAATTAGTGCACCTCAAGTATAGAGGCTTCTCCACATCAGTGCACAAGTTATCATACACATATGCTCGTTCAAAAGCTTCTTCCCCAACATTATAGATCATATCCTCTAATCAATTTTCATTCATATCTATTTCATCATCCAGATTATCAATTTTCACATATTTAGACGTGTTACTATAATTTTCCAATTGTTCACTATGCCAAATACATACCATATATTTCTTGCAAATCCCATCACAAATCAAGTGCTCTCTTATTTCGACAGCACCTAATCTCCTCTCATTCAAGCAATTAACACAAGGATAATAGAACCTTACACTATTGTCAACAACATTTTTCTTAGCAAATTCTAAAAATTCCTTTACCCTATTATCATACTCATCACTTGTTCATCTAGCATTCATTTAACTACAATCTATATGTCAACTCCTAAAGAATATAACTATTGTTATTACCTTCAAACTATTTCAAAAATCTAAATTCCTAAATAAATGACCACATGCAAACAACCTAATGAGGCCTTCTTAAAAATTAAATTTAAGCAATTCAAGGGAAAAGAATGAATTTTAAAAAATTTTGGTAGAGTCTTCCCTAAAAATGAGACCTCCTAGAGTTTTAGAAAATTTTAATAGAAAAAGTTGATAATTTTAAACCAAATTAATGATCACATGCAACAACTTAAGGCTTTATGAAGCCACTAACAACACTTCCAACAACAATCAATATCAATAACAATAAATTTAAATAATTTAAAGGAAAGAATAAATTTTAAAAAATTTTGCCAGAATCTCCCCTAAAAATTAGACCTCCCAAGACTTTTAAAAATTTTTAATAGAAAAAATTATAATTTTAAACCAAATTAATGATCACATGTACCAACTTAAGGCTTTATGAAGCCACTAACAGCACTTTCAATAATAATCAATATCATTATCATCATATATATACATACACATATCATCCTAATAAATTAAAAAAATTAACAAAAAAATACAATCAAATAAAAAATTATCTTTACAAAAATTAAGAGGCATACCTAATCAATCAAGAGTGGCGGCAGCAACAAGAGGAGGATCAAGCAGTGGGAGGAGAAGGAAGGGAGGAGGAGGAGGTGGTAGAGGTAAGGGGAGGGGAATGCAAAGGAAATGACACTAAAGAGGGGGAAGGGTGGAGCGGTAGGGGGAGGTGGAGGGGATGGGGGAGGGGGCACGGCAGGGGGAGGGGATAGGGGCGGGGGAGGGATCGATAGGGGAGGGGGAGGGGGAGGGAGTGGTAGGGTGATGGGGGAAAGGATACAGGAAGGCAAGGGAAAGGGGGATACTGTTGGAAAGGAGGAGGGAGAGGGCGTCGGTTAAGCTCAAGGGAGAGGAGGAAGGAGAGCACACTTTTGAAGGCGCAAAGAAGAGGAAATAAGGGAGGAGACATGCTGAAGAAAAAATGAGTAGGAGAGAAAAAAATTTAAACTACTTTCTACAGTGGCTGAATAGTCACCTGCTATAGAAAAACTACTTTCAACAGCGGGTGACTATTCACTTGCTGAAGAAAGTAGTTTTCTACAGTGGGTAAAGCTCACCCGTTGTAGAAAAGAGAGTTTCTATAGCAGGTGTAGAAAGGTTCTTCTACAGCAGGTGATGTGTACTCGCTGTAGAAATTTGGTTTTCTGTAGCAGGTAGACACCATTCATTATATAAAGTAGTTTTTTTCTGTAGAAAGTTTTTTTTACAGTGATTTCCTTTTCACCCGGTGTAAAAACTATAATATGCATTGTTGAAATTATAAAAATGCCACCGCCTTAACTTTCTGCACCGTTTGCCTTCCAACCGATAGAAAGTACCCTTTAAATTTCATATTTTGTACTAGTAAATCCTCCCAATTTTATGACAACAAGTACTCCTTCTCCCTTACCCTTACAAAGTATCAACATACATTTAGAGCTCACAAAGATTGTGCAATATTGAAAGCTTAAGTGAACAAAGTTTGCCTACACCAATCCTTAAGATGAATGCTTGGAAGTGAAAGGATTTGATTATATGGGTTGGATAGACATTCCCTTATGGAGATGCATTTAAAGGTGTGTTGCTTAAATATAGCATAGCTTACAATTTTCCATTTGTGTTCATGAAGAACAATAGGAAGAGAATGAGCGTGTAAGGTAGAGGATTGTCTCTGGAAACTCTCAGCTAATCGAGTGAGTAAGGAAAGTACATGGTTACATATAACATCGTTAGTACTAGAACATATGCATGATGCACAAGACAATCTTATTGTTGGACACAATAAGAGATGCAAACTTACTTCTAGAATTATAGTAGATGAGTTGAGGTCCAGCATTGACAAGCCATCTAATGAGATAATAAAAGATTTGGAAAGAGATTATGAGGTAAGACTAAGCTATCAACAAGCCTATAGGGCAAAACAAAGGGCATTGGTAAGCATCCATGGTATCCCGAGAGTCTACTATATGCTATTGCTTTGGATATGTGAAAGGCTACAACAAGTCAATCCAAGGATAGTGGCCAAATAGGTTGTTTCATTTGAGAATAGATTTGAGTGACTGTTCATTGCATATAGATGTTGTATGCATGGGTTTTTAGAAGGTACCCGGCTTATTATTCATATGGATGGATGCTATTTGAGTAGACCATACAAGGGGACTCTTCTAGGAGCCCAAACCTATGATGCAAACATTCAATTATTCCCTATTACCTATATGATTGTTAGTAGTGAAACTCTTGATGATTGGATATGGTTTTTGCACAACTCAAAGGAGATAACAGGTAATATGGTTTTAACAATTGTGTTTGATAAACATCCATCTATAATAAGTGCAATGAGCTATATTTAGTAGGGAGCGACATGCATACTATTATCAACATGTGAAGGAAAACTTTAGTAATGAATTTTTAAAATTGAGTAGGGGAAAGAGAAAGGCTACAGGATTAGTAAAGGAAATAATGTTGAAGTTGCTAGATGCAGTTGCTTATGCAAGGCATCCTAAGGAGTTTGATACAAGAATGGGTAACTTGATGCATTTTTCACCAAAATTAGCACAATGGGTTGAAAATCAGGGTGATGTCTAAAGGTGGGCACAAAGCTAATTCGAGCATAAGAGATGAGACAACATCACAACCAACCTTGCGCAATCATTCAATGCTTGGTTGGTGAAAGATAGGAAGCACAATATTCCTATGTCGATATATATGCACAGGGAAACATTAGCTAAGAAAATGCGTGCCTACAAGATGGCCATTTAGAATTGGAAAAATGGTGTGGTACCAAGTGTTGAGGCTAAATTGATAGAGAATGTGATATGATCTGACAAAATGGGTATACAAGACTATAAAAATGATATATTTAGAGTGAGTGGTCAAAAAGGAGATTTGACTATCGATCTTAACAACCATATTTGCTCATACAAAGCATGGGATATGAATGGAGTGCCTTGCTTGCACGCTTGTGCTATAATTAAATCATTTTATGGAAATGTATATGAGTATGTAGACAAGTACTTGATAAAAGAAGCTCACGAAAAGATTTACAGCAAGGCAATGATTCTAGTTGAGACTTATATTCCTGTACCAGACATCCTAAATTATGATGACTATAGACATACGATGTTGCTTCAACCACCTTCGACTACCTGGCCTCCTGGAAGGCCAAGAACTCAGAGGGTTGAATCCCAATTCTAAGACAGAAGGGTGTATCACTGTTCAAGATGGAGGGAGCAAAATCATACTATGAGGACTTGCAAGAACTCGAGTCCTAGCTGAACATGATTATGAACATAGAACATGATTATATGTATCCCAATAAATTATTTTTTTAGAATGTTAAGAGGCAGCTATTATATGGATCCACACAACCCATTAATTTTTTGGCATGGGTTGCTTTTTGTAAAGGGGTAAACGACATGGGTCATTTTTTATAAAGGGGTATAATCTTATAGGTTACTTTTTGTAAAGGGGTTTTATATGGTATAGAATGCCTTTTGTAAAAAAGTGCATTTATATGGCAAAGGAAAAGGATTTCAATTGGGTACTTGTTCAAAGATTGGACAAAGTACTTGGATGAAATCACTTCATCCTTTATCTACAATGTAATTGACATTTATTAATAAAATTACTTTTTACATGTTAATTACCTTACTTTACATGATAGGACAAAATTTAAAGTGCTTGTTTAATGTTATGTTTGAATGACTTGTTTGTGACCTTACTTTGTGGGGTTTACTACCTTACAATATATTGCTAATGTCCTTACCCTACTTATTCTTTACAATTTTGGCTTCAAAAATTACTAAGTGTTGGTCTCTTTATTAGAATGACTTGTTCGTGACCTTACTTTGTATGATTCATTACCTTACAGTATGTTGTTAATATCCTTACCATACTTGTTTTCTACAATACCGGCTTCAAAAGGGTACCAAGTATTGGTTTGTGTATCAGAGTGACTTGTGCAATCCGATATTAGGGTTAAGGTTTAAGGTCGGACAAGTGTTTATGAGATACCAAGGGAAGGAATATAGTTTTGGTGTAGACAAGGTAACTGTCTAGTTGACACAACCTCAGTTTCCTACCAATAGGTTTACAACATATCGATATGAAATACTAGCCATAGGATGTATATTTGAAATGGACAGCTGAGATTAAACGATAATGCTATAGGAAATATTTGTACATACTAGTACGTCAATATATTACCTGTAATGACCTTTAATTTTGAATTAAATAAATTTCCTTCCAATTTATAATTAGTTAATTAATTAATTTGATTTTATGATAAATAAAGAGTAGTGGCTTAGTGGGATTTATACTGATTATATGTATGGAGGTCTAGAGTTCAAACATTACTCTAATTAAATGTTAGTTTTATTTTATTTATATAGAAAAGTATTAGAGAGTCTTTATTTTTAGAAATATTATAAAAAAATTATTATTATTATTTAAATTAAATTAATTCATAGGGTCTTCTTTCAAAATTTTCTCAACAGGCTTTGGGACTTTTTATGTAAATTTTTCCATAAATTTATTATTTGACTTTCTTGAATCTTCTTAGTCGGTGCGGCAGAAGAGAGAGGGAGAGCTTACGATTTTCTTTATTTTCTTTTCCTCTCCTTATCCTGATCAAGTGCTGGACGCAGGGAGAGATCAAGCGAAGCTTTATCCTTTGTTTTTTTTCATCATTCTCCTTCCTTCCCTTCCCCACCGTCTTCAACATCGCCGGTTTGGTCGTGGGTAAGCCGTCGTTCATCGTCACTAGGAAGTCCAGATCGCTGTTTCTCCCCCTCCCCTGCTTCGTCTCACTTTCTGTTTAGTCTCCTCAACTGCTGTTTAGTTCGTTTGTCGTCAAAAATTATGGCAACCGAAGTCCTTCTCTTCTTGTTTTTTTTCAACTGTCGCCGACTAAGGAGGGTTCTCTCTGTAACCTTGCTACGTTCAGGTCCTCCTCTGTTCTTCTCGTCTTCGTCTGTCTTCGCCACTCGTAATTCGTGTTCCTGCCGTGGGTGGGTGTCAAAGCTGAATCCCGCCATTGGGGTGCTGCTCGTAAGTCCTTTGCTTTTTGATCTGTTTGTGTTGGCTTTGCTCCTCTTTTTGATTCGTGCAGTATACTAGAATTTCTTCCTTGTTCTGCTGTATGTCCCGTCTCTTTCTTTGATTTTGTTAATGTTGAGGGTTAACGTGAGAAGCCTTAAGCTATCCTTCTTAATGATTTTATGCGTGAGTGTCTGAGTGGATAATTAAATTTTTTCAGTGTGTGTCTCTCTTTGCTGAATATATGTGCAACAAATTGTTATGACAAAAAAAAATTAATGATCATTTTCTCTATTTCTGCGACTATGACCTCATAGATGAGCTGAATTTATAAGAGTCTTGGTGCTGTTGAATTGTTAGAAGAACTTTGGGATGGGATTTGAAGAGAAGAATTGAGTATTTAAAATTTGAAAATTCATGTATGTAAAATGTTTGATAAAATACCCCTTAGAAAAGTCTTGTTTGATGATACATTTTTGCTTAAATTTTAGTAATTATGGTGAGAGGAATGATTGACTCAAACACTATTAAGTTGAGTTTAAGTTGAAGGTGGCAAAGGAATTTGATAATAAAAATATTCTTTGGATATATATGGTTGTTGAGAAACTATTGGTTAAGATTATGGATTTTTTTTCTCTATCTACTGTGAGTAAGGTGAAGTTGGGAGATAATTTTCTTTGAGTATTAAAGTTAATTTATGTTGAAGAAGAAGTTTGATCAATTTAAACATGTATTGACATTGAAATTTTTTTTATGGAAAATGATTGGGATAAGATTTGGATAAAAGAACCTAAATTTATTAGTTAAAGAGTTCGTGTTTGCAAAATGTTGATACAATGTTTGAGAAAAGTGGAGATTGAGACTTATTTGTGATACCTCTTTGGAATTTTAGATTGAAGTCTTGAATATAAAGTTTATAAATGAATAACAATAGTGTTACTGGGTACTAGGAATTTAATGGTCAAATATCGTACTAGAGGACCAGTTGAAAGTGAGTTATACACTTGAAGACTCTTTAGGTAAGTGGATAGCGTCCCAACTGATATTCCAATAAAATTTATACTGAAATATTACATTTTTATACAAATCCTTTTTACAGCAACAATATGATTATTGGATATTTTGTTGATTAAAGTATTTTATTTTTGTAAAGTTACCTTTACCAGATTTGATAATTTTAGTTTATCACTAAATACAAGTTTGGATTTTAATTATGGAATTTTCATTCTAGAATTTATTGAATTGATACAGAGAATGATTCTTACGAGTTCGACTTCAAAAATTTTTGATTATTCAATAAATGCAAGCATGAGCATTGGATATGAAATTTAATTCTGGCAAGTTTTAAAGCTTAAAAATATTCATGCGAGTTTGATTTTGAGAATGAGGACTGTATCTTGAAAGTGATGATTTTCTCGCATGTTTGAAAATGGTTTTAAAAGGGGGACTTTATACAGAACACTGATTGCTAACGGCAGTTCCGTTAGCCCTTGGCGTGCCATGGTACACCTAGCTAGCAGGGTATTTATAGGAGGTGCTAGCCCCGTGCGATGGCCAACGCACGTGAAACGGAGGGATGGTTATTCGTGAGCATTGTACTCACGTTTGATTTCGTGGCTTTGAGCTGCGTTTGGTTAGCATTACTCTCGTGGACTGTGTGTATCCACGTTTGTTTCGTAGCTTCGGCTGCGTTTGGTTACTTATCCTCGTGGATTATGTGTCCACATTTGTTTTCGTGGCATAAGCCGCGTTTGGTTATTTACTCTCGTGGACTGTGTGTCCACATTTGTTAATTGTTCTAATAAGTCCCCATAAACATGAATCCAATCATATGATGATTTCATATTCTATTGGTTTTTATTTAGTAATTTATTTATAAATATTTATTTCATTTATGTGCTTTCTTGAAATCAAGTGATATTATTATTTGCTATGATAGTTTAATGATTTGAGATTTTATTTAAAATTTATAGAGCCATTTTATTATGAAGTTCATTAAGTTTTTACAAAAATTGTCTATTTAACTTATATAACTATTTCAAACTTTTTATTTTATTTATTTATGTTTTATTGTTTATTGTTGGGACGTTATTCACTGGAAATAATTATTTTGGTCTCAGATATGTTAGTGGATGTCGTGCCTCCTGCTAATCCTTGAGGGGTTGTAATATTCAGTTGAGATGAAAAGCTGAAATCAAACCTCTTTAAAGTAAATCTCTTATGTCAAGTGCTCCACATAAGCTATAGTTAGGGTCCTTGTCCTTATTATTTATACTTCGTTATTTACTGATCGGAAGAGAATTCCTTACTGCTACTATTGTTTTTTTTAGATATTAAATCTTTTGTTCATATGGTTTGTATTGAGGATGACTTAATTTATTATCAAAGGTCTTCATGGCTTATAAATTAGAGATTTCTTGAGTAAAGACTTTTAGGATATGGTTATTATCTCTATATTCTGTGCCAAACATGTTCTGTTTTTGGGGTGTGACAGTTTGGTATCAGAGCTTAGGTTTCCTATAGCTGTGTGGAGCAAGGATTCTTTAATGGGGTCTTGATTATCATTATGAACCCGGGCATAATCATAATCAAGGCATCATTGAAGGCCTTATAGAGGGTCCTTAACTGTCTTTCCTTTCTTTTTTTATTGACTTCCCTTAATATATAGTTTTGTGTCTTGAGTTAATCATCTCCTTGGTCTTCTTGCATAGTGAGAAATGTTGTCCACTCATTAAGTATTAAGTGGAAGGATCTATAGTTGGATAGTTTCTTATAGAGCTTGAACTCAATCTAGCAATATGCTCTTATTTTTGAAGCATATGTTCTTTTACATGTTACAAATTTTGTTGAGGTTAACAATTTTTGTTTTCATATTAGAAAGAAGATTACACAAGATCACAAGTATTACTGGGGCATTTGATCAAACTGGTACTACTCTAAGACCCTTAATACAGGCTTGTTTTAAATTAAGTAGTATGAATTTTGGCTTAATTTGGTCTCTTCCAAGTTCTGTGTTTGTTGGCTTGAATTATGAGAGCAACATTTAAACTATATAAAAAGAAATTCCGAGGAAGAGATTTAGAAATCATGGTTATATTTCACATGGCTCAATACGAATCTTAATTATATAGTATAGTAGTTATAAGTATTATTATATTTTGTCCTCACAAGATTCATGCATTGTTTGATTTTAATTCATTATGGTCATATATACTTGGGTATTATGATAGCAAACCCTGCTAGTGAGATATTTTTGATGGATCAAATGTTTAAATCTTTTACCATCAATGGAAAGGGAAGGATTTTTTTGATGACTTTCCATAAGTGTCTAAATGCTTTATTTGATGAAATTACAATAAAAGGAGGTGCGAATGAGAATTATGGAGATTAATTGAGCCAATAATGTGGATGAGAGGTTTATAATGTTGAAACACCAAATTTAGGCTAACAACAAATTGTGGTCGGATAAAGTGTAAAAATTTAGACTCTTGGCTTATGATAATGATTCAAATGAGTTTGTTAGGGGTCAAATAGGTCTTGTATGATATGGGAATGAGAATTTGAACCTAAGTGATGAGAAACTTGAATTATGACTTGAAGTGAAACTCTGGAGTTCATATAGTTTGATTGGATTATATATGACTTAAAGTTGTGTTAATGCAAGTGAAGTGGTCATTTTGAGTCATAAAACCAATCTTAAGCATCGAATCAGGTTTACATGTTATATGAGTGATTAGAAATATGTGTAAGATGAAGAATTCTAAAAGAGTGTAAGTTCAAGCAATTGATCCTTCAAACTAGAACCAAATGAGTAGTAAAAAGTATGATTACAGTTACAGGCCTTAAAGGTTAAAGTTTGAGCTGAAATTTTGCACGTATTTAAGGGAAATATGGAAGTTTCATTCTCTCGAATATATTAATTTTTTTTTTGTTCTAAAGAATATTTTATGAATTTTGAAATTAGTCTAAGAAGTTGTTATGAAACAGTTATGGATATTTTGTACCGGATCTGATGTTTAATGATTTACATAGACTAAATGGATTCCAATGATTTTGAAATTGTAACAGTGGATAGGACATGAATATATCTTTTCGAGAAGTCTTAATTTGCTTCAATTGGATGTTTCTAGTTCAAATTATGATTATTTAAATTTTATGATTAACTATCTGTTCATAACATGCTAAATTAGGTGAAGAGTGGTTAAGCTTTATTGTTTTCTAACTAATTATATTGATTATTAATAAGATGTTCTAAGTGTCCTAAGTGAGTTGAAACGGCTTTTGATGGTAAATGCAGAAGAAAGAGTGATGTTTATGAATTAGAGGAATATAATGTTTAAATATTTTCTTAATAAATTTATGGTAGAAATTATTGAGGAAATTTTGGTGTATTTAAAGGGAGTTCAAAATAATATGATAAACTTTATTCATATGTTTGATACTACATGAGCTTAAAGAACAATATTTATTTACAGAATTCTTGAAACAAGAAGATTGGTGTGTCAAATAACTTTTTATGTTATGCCTGGAGGTGGGATTTAAGCATATCAAAGGAGATAGAAGGAATTTAGAACTAACAACTATCAATATTGTCGTTGGATTTTATAATTCTATGTTAACATGATATTATCATTGGTTTTTGTGGAATTTTTTATGACAAGCTAGTTCAAAAGAAAGTAGAATTCATAGAGGGTGAATCTTGTGATAAAAGTCTTTAAAAATTGCATGAATGTTTAACATCCGCATTTAACTTAAAGTTACTATGAGGGAAAGAGGGGTTTTAATTTGGAAAAGAATGACGGGATTGCTCTATAATTATGATTGTATTATTTTCTTCATGATTGATAGAGCTAATATTAAGTAGAAAATTTAAGGATAATTTGGCACGTAGTAGTAGCAGTAATATTAAGGAGATCATTGATAAAAGAGATTCATGAAATAGAGCGCAATGAAATCAAGTTCAAATTTGAGTATTGTTTTACTTGTGGGCAATTTGGTTCTACACTACATGTTAAAGAAATAGATGGTCAAATTGTAAACCTAAAACTATGCAAGTTGTTGGTAGCAATAAGGAAATGAGTTGACGATGAATTTGTTGTTGCTTAGGAAGGAACATTATGAGACAATAGCAAAATATGTATATCTTAGGTTGAGGTGATGTTATTATAAGGAGTGGAATTAACTCAATGTACATCAATTATTCTTCATAAGGTCAGCAAAGGTGTATCAAGATTTATAAAATAAATAAACTATTTGTACTGTAGGATAGTTTGAGAAAGGATATAATTGACTTCATCTCATGATAGTTTGTGTGCAAGCTAAAGTAAAGCATTAGAAATTGATATGAACATATCAATGATTAGAAAAGTTTGTAAACTTGCATAGAGTCCTACTATCCAAGTTGTAGAGCAAGAACTCTAATTTATTTTGTGTTTTTAGTAAGCTTTGCAAGGAACTTTGGGTACTATCACAAACTAATGATCTATATGAAAGGATAGTTCAAGTTTTAGATGTTATATCAAGGAATTAGGATAACTAATGGCTTCATTGAAATATGCATATAATAATAGTTATCAAATTGTTATTTAATATTTGAGTTATGAGATAAATAATGAAGATTTTCAATTGAATGGTTTGATATTACCTGAGAAATTTGGGGACAAATTTGGTGTAGGATGCTAAAGAGAAAGTGCAAGTTATCAAACAAAGATTTTTAATAGTCCAAATTTAACTAAAGTTTAAGTAGATCATTATCATAGAGAGTTAGAATTCATGTTGAGAAACAAAGTTTTTTTTTATATATCACCTACGAAAGGTGTGATGAGGTTTGAGAAGAAAAGCAAGATTAGCCTGAGGTACATTGGTCCATTATAGATTCTAGATAAAGTAGATATTGTTGTTTACTATCTTGTTTGGCCTCAGGAGTTAGATGGTATTTATAATTCCATTGAAGAAGTCACTTAGGAAGGAGAGAGTAAGATGTGAGTAAAGTATCCGCATTTATTCAATGATTAAGGTATGCATTTATTAAAATTCGGAGGACCGAATTTTTTAAGGAGGGGAGAATGTAATGACCTTTAATTTTGAATTAAATAAATTTCCTTCCAATTTATAATTAGTTAATTAATTAATTTGATTTTATGATAAATAAAGAGTAGTGGCTTAGTGGGATTTATACTGATTATATGTATGGAGGTCTAGAGTTCAAACATTACTCTAATTAAATGTTAGTTTTATTTTATTTATATAGAAAAGTATTAGAGAGTCTTTATTTTTAGAAATATTATAAAAAAATTATTATTATTATTTAAATTAAATTAATTCATAGGGTCTTCTTTCAAAATTTTCTCAACAGGCTTTGGGACTTTTTATGTAAATTTTTCCATAAATTTATTATTTGACTTTCTTGAATCTTCTTAGTCGGTGCGGCAGAAGAGAGAGGGAGAGCTTACGATTTTCTTTATTTTCTTTTCCTCTCCTTATCCTGATCAAGTGCTGGATGCAGGGAGAGATCAAGCGAAGCTTCATCCTTCATTTTTTTTCATCATTCTCCTTCCTTCCCTTCCCCACCGTCTTCAACATCGCCGGTTTGGTCGTGGGTAAGCCGTCGTTCATCGTCACTAGGAAGTCTAGATCGCTGTTTCTCCCCCTCCCCTGCTTCGTCTCACTTTCTGTTTAGTCTCCTCAACTGCTGTTTAGTTCATTTGTCGTCAGAAATTATAGCAACCGAAGTCCTTCTCTTCTTTTTTTTTCAACTGTCGCCGACTAAGGAGGGTGCTATTTGCCACCTTGCTACGTTCAGGTCCTCTTCTGTTCTTCTCGTCTTCGTCTGTCTTCGCCACTCGCAATTCGTGTTCCTGTCGTGGGTAAGTGTGAAAGCTGAATCCTGCCATTAGGGTGCTGCTCGTAAGTCCTTTGCTTTTTGATCTGTTTGTGTTAGCTTTGCTCCTCTTTTTGATTCGTGCAGCATACTAGAATTTCTTCCTTGTTCTGCTGTATGTCCCGTCTCTTTCTTTGACTTTTGTTAATGTTGAGGGTTAACGTGAGAAGCCTTGAGCTATCCTTCTTAATGATTTTATGCGTGAGTGTCTGAGTAGATAATTAAATTTTTTAGTGTGTGTCTCTCTTTGCTGAATATATGTGCAACAAATTGTTATGACAAAAAAAAATTAATGATCATTTTCTCTATTTCTGCGACTATGACCTCATAGATGAGCTGAATTTATAAGAGTCTTGGTGCTGTTGAATTGTTAGAAGAACTTTGGGATGGGATTTGAAGAGAAGAATTGAGTATTTAAAATTTGAAAATTCATGTATGTAAAATGTTTGATAAAATACCCCTTAGAAAAGTCTTGTTTGATGATACATTTTTGCTTAAATTTTAGTAATTATGGTGAGAGGAATGATTGACTCAAACACTATTAAGTTGAGTTTAAGTGAAGGTGGCAAAGGAATTTGATAATAAAAATATTCTTTGGATATATATGGTTGTTGAGAAACTATTGGTTAAGATTATGGATTTTTTTTTCTCTATCTCCTGTAAGTAAGGTGAAGTTGGGAGATAATTTTCTTTGAGTATTAAAGTTAATTTATGTTGAAGAAGAAGTTTGATCAATTTAAACATGTATTGACATTGAAATTTTTTTTATGGAAAATGATTGGGATAAGATTTGGATAAAAGAACCTAAATTTATTAGTTAAAGAGTTCGTGTTTGCAAAATGTTGATACAATGTTTGAGAAAAGTGGAGATTGAGACTTATTTGTGATACCTCTTTGGAATTTTAGATTGAAGTCTTGAATATAAATTTATAAATGAATAACAATAGTGTTACTGGGTACTAGGAATTTAATGGTCAAATATCGTACTAGAGGACCAGTTGAAAGTGAGTTATACACTTGAAGACTCTTTAGGTAAGTGGATAGCGTCCCAACTGATATTCCAATAAAATTTATACTGAAATATTACATTTTTATACAAATCCTTTTTACAGCAACAATATGATTATTGGATATTTTGTTGATTAAAGTATTTTATTTTTGTAAAGTTACCTTTACCAGATTTGATAATTTTAGTTTATCACTAAATACAAGTTTGGATTTTAATTATGGAATTTTCATTCTAGAATTTATTGAATTGATACAGAGAATGATTCTTACGAGTTCGACTTCAAAAATTTTTGATTATTCAATAAATGCAAGCATGAGCATTGGACATGAAATTTAATTCTGGCAAGTTTTAAAGCTTAAAAGTATTCATGCGAGTTTGATTTTGAGAATGAGGACTGTATCTTGAAAGTGATGATTTTCTCGCATGTTTGAAAATGGTTTTAAAAGGGGGACTTTATACAGAACACTGATTGCTAACGGCAGTTCCGTTAGCCCTTGGCGCGCCATGGTACACCTAGCTAGCAGGGTGTTTATAGGAGGTGCTAGCCCTGTGCGATGGCCAACGCACGTGGAACGGAGGGATGGTTATTCGTGAGCATTGTACTCATGTTTGATTTCGTGGCTTTGAATTGCGTTTGGTTAGCATTGCCCTCGTGGACTGTGTGTATCCACGTTTGTTTGTAGCTTCGGCTGCGTTTGGTTACTTACCCTCGTGGATTGTGTGTCCACGTTTGTTTTCGTGGCATAAGCCGCGTTTGGTTATTTACTCTCGTGGACTGTGTGTCCACGTTTGTTAATTGTTCTAATAAGTCCCCATAAACATGAATCCAATCATATGATGATTTCATATTCTATTGGTTTTTATTTAGTAATTTATTTATAAATATTTATTTCATTTATGTGCTTTCTTGAAATCAAGTGATATTATTATTTGCTATGATAGTTCAATGATTTGAGATTTTATTTAAAATTTATAGAGCCATTTTATTATGAAGTTCATTAAGTTTTTACAAAAATTGTCTATTTAACTTATATAACTATTTCAAACTTTTTATTTTATTTATTTATGTTTTATTGTTTATTGTTGGGACGTTATTCACTGGAAATAATTATTTTGGTCTCAGATATGTTAGTGGATGTCGTGCCTCCTGCTAATCCTTGAGGGGTTGTAATATTCAGTTGAGATGAAAAGCTGAAATCAAACCTCTTTAAAGTAAATCTCTTATGTCAAGTGCTCCACATAAGCTATTGTTAGGGTCCTTGTCCTTATTATGTATACTTTGTTATTTACTGATTGGAAGAGAATTCCTTACTGCTACTATTGTTTTTTTTAGATATTAAATCTTTTGTTCATATGGTTTGTATTGAGGATGACTTAATTTATTATCAAAGGTCTTCATGGCTTATAAATTAGAGATTTCTTGAGTAAAGACTTTTAGGATATGGTTATTATCTCTATATTCTGTGCCAAACATGTTCTGTTTTTGGGGTGTGACATTACCGATATCTACACATGACACACTAGTGTGAAACATACATACCGGTGTGAACGAGGCTCCTATAGAGGACGAATTGATACCAATATATATGTTTCACACTGCTGTGTCATGCACATACCAATATGAAACATACATACTAGTACCAATTTTGCCTCCTCAGGAGCCTCGTTCATACTGGTGTGTCATGTACATACTAGCATGAAACATACATATTGGTACCAATTCTGCCTCTTCAGGAGCCTTATTCACATCAGTATGTATGTTTCACACTAATGTGTCATGTACATATCAGTATGAAACATACATACCAATACTAATTTGACCTCCACACAAGCCTCGTTCACACCAATATGTATGTTTCACATTGATGTGTAACTAACATACTGGTATGAAACATAAATACCAGTACCAATTTAGCCTCCACATGAGCCTCATTCACACTGGTATGTATGTTTCATACCAATGTGTCATGTACATACGATATGAAAAATACATACTAGTATCAATTAATCATCCATAGGAGCCTCATTCACACTGATATGTAATGGACATACCAATATGTTATGTCATTTCCTGTTTCACTTGTTTTTGAATTTACTTTACATGGTTCATTTATTTATAAAATGAAGTTTGCATCCTTACATTGCTTGTTTGTTGCAATATTAATATACTAAAAAATTCCAACTACGAGTAAAGATAGATTTGAACTTGGTATAACTTGTTCGTTATATTACTATGTGTAATGACATTAACTTATAAAATCTTATCACTTTTGACTTCTATTTTTACACATTTGCATAATAATTGAATAATAAAAAAACTACAATTCTTTGGGATTCTTCAGCTTTGCCTCTTCTTAGCCTCGCCCCTTGCAAGGAGTTTCAGCACGGCCTTGCATTTGGATTTCTTCTCGTGGCTTACAAGCTACCATAATAATTCAACTTTAACGTTGTGGACGTCCTCATCAGAGTACGATAGACTTGTATACCCATGTTCATCACAAGAAGAGTTGTCCCATGATTTTAGCCCCTCAATAATGTGAACCCCACAAGATGTCCTGCATATGCAAATACTCATAGTCAAATTGCTTTAAAAACAAAAGTAAGAATCAATAATAGAAAGTCACATGTTAATTTAATGCACGTATCTGTTTGGAGATTAAGTTGTGCCCATTTAACATTATTATCAAATTCTTTATCATTGTGAAATAGTTGGGGTTTCACTGCATACAACAATTGGTGGAAGCAATCTCATACAACTATAGTCATTTTTTCTTCATTTTCATATCTTCTAATTTCTTCTTACCACAAGAATGCTTGTGTGTAGTTTTTTATCCTTTAATCTATTGTATTTCCCTTCCATCCACCAATAAGTCAAGGATGTAGAAGTTCATGGTCTCTATGCCCAAAGCATAACAAAATGAGTGACTTTGGAAGCATGTGGGGTTAAAGATCCACTAGAAATCTGCAATGTTGTACCTAACATTATCTTTTAAAATCTGTGCTTTATACTACTCCCAATTCTACTTTTGCTTTTGTGTCACAATTTGTGTCTACAAGCATACAAGTTGTACTAAGGATTTGATTACTAATTCAACAACATTAATGAGGCAAGCATAGATTATATAATGTTCTAAATGCTTTACCATGAATTCACTGTTGAATATGTGCCTCAATACTTGACCACCGTTCTCTCTTTAGTCACCCACCAACATCCTGGTTACCATTGTTACAAACTATATATAATAAAAAAGGAGTGAAAACAATGGCATTATACATTGAACAAGTCAAATCATGTTCAATCATAAATTTCACTCACCCTATCGTTTATATAACTTCCTCTATCAAGACAAAATAGCTCAGACCAAGTAAGGTGGTAGTTGTACATATTCACAAAGATCCTACTACATTCAACACTTATTAATTTAGAATTCAAAAAGATTTTGCAATAAGTGAAATCATTACCATAACACTTAACCCCAATGAAGACTCACCTCTTTAACTTATGCTGGCTATAGGTAGTAGTGCAAAGCTTGAATACTGCTTCATGTTTAGCATCCAACAATTTCCTCTTCTTGACATTCTTAATTGTAACAGTGTCCTGCACGAATGGAGACTTCCCTGATGCACTAGCTTTGTTAGCTCTTTTAGATCTTCACAGTTCAGTAGCAAGTACATCTTTTGAATTTTGCTTATTTTCTCTCTATCTTTCTTCATTCCCTCAATCCTTCTCATGCATAGTATATATTGCCTTATCTTCTCTATCTTCATTCCTCTCTTTACTGTTTTCTCCCTCCTCTGTCTTCATTCATCTATTCACTATTTTCTCGCTCTTTTGTATCCTCTTTGCCCTCTTCTTCTTCTCTTCACTGTTATTCTCTTCACTATCTTCTCCCTCTATTGTATCATCTTTGTCCTCTTCCTTCTTCTCTTCTTCACTTTTTCCTCCCGTATCTTATCTAAATAATATCTCCTCTTCCTATTTCTTGTCTTCACTCTTCTCTCACTCTTGGTAATCATCTTCTTCACTCTTTTCTACCAATTATTCATTATCATCTTCCCTTACTTGGTCACTCTCTTTTACACTATCTTCTCCCACCTCATTTGTGTCTTGAATGTCAAGACTTTTCCCTTCTACCTCTTCTCTCGATTGGTCATCATTCATAACACCCTTTATGGATTGTATTGTCACCAATTCATCTGCCACCTACTTCTTTATCTTCAAAACCTTAACATCAATATACTTTTCAAACCTTAAATAAAATTCTCTCAACTAGTCTGGAAGTGAGGCACTGAATTCTAAATGTGATTGGTGTCTTGAAATGCTTGCTTTAGAAGTGGGTTGGGCGTGTAAAATCCCATATGAGCTTCTCTATTCAATGTTGACTCTATCATTAACTCGTTGCTCTGTCCAGTCCTTCACTGCTTCTGCATAAAAAAATCCATCCCCTTCAACTATAAGAATTTTTAGAGGAAAAAAAGCTACACACAAACAATTCAAACAAGAATCCAAGTAAACAATAGAAGTCATAGGATTCAAAACTAAACACACATTAGGGAATGAACAAGTCTTCATACATACCACTAACAAGTAGACGCAACTATCAATGTTCCTTGTACCCATGGGATCACCTGACTGTAATAGCTATTAGTACTTCTCTATTTCTTTATTCAACTCATCCAGCACAAGAGATGCCCAATCAAATTTGTCCTAACATTCTCTAATGAACTTTAACACTTCCACTAGCTTATTGCTTACTAATAGACTGCCAATAAGACAAAGTAGAGAACTAAGGGTATAAAGTAGGAATAAAGCCTCAAATTCCTCCCCTGCACTACTAGACATTATGTTCTCCTTTATTAGATTGTAATTCCAAGGAAAGCTCTTCCTTGACTTGCTCTCTTTTGGTCCCCTCTTACGTGGCACCTTAACTTGCTCTCCTTTATAAGGTAATCCTAATAAATTGTGCACATCTACAGGCTTGATTTCTATCTAAGTGTCTCTTAGTGTCAACTTCCTGGTAGGGGATCAAAACCAAGTATGATCTTCTTGAATAAGCCACGTGGTATTCTCTTGCAAGTTATATCTAGTAAGTGCCCAAAACTAATGTCATCAACCCTTTTCTTCAATAAAGCATCTGCTTTCACATATTCAGCAACTTCTGTGAACTTCAGAAGTAAACATCGAGTGTTAAATGGTGCCAAATACTTCTTCTTCTTAGGCCTAGATGCCAAATGCTTGTTGCTCGATATTTCCTTCTCCCCATTTGTCAACTTCTTCCATTCTTGTACTACCTTCTTATGATTTTGCTGAAATGTCCTCTTTCGTTTTCTACTTTCATAAAACTTCCTTATATAAAGGTGCCACCTTGTAATACCTTTCTCACTATTCTTTGCCCTACAAAAAAAATCAAATAAAATCAAGTTCTTCACAAGATAGCACCATTTTGATCCACACAAAATTACATCATCAACAACCTGACTAATTAACCACTATTATTAGGGTAATGAACAACTAGGATGGGGTTATTTACAACTCCTAATTCTTCATTATCATTCAATTACTTGTTAATTTACACATCAAAACTTGTTCATTTACTAACAATTCATGTTCATTTCTTTAACCTAGCTTGTTCATCTCCCTAACCACGCTTGCCCACAAACTGCTATTTAGTTAACGAACAACTCTATTAACCTACTTAATAACTACTATTTGTGTAATGAACAACAAAGCCTACCAAATTCAAACTTCACTAATTTACAAATGAATTATTTTTCCCAATATAACATAGACATTTTTGTGAAACCACTATCCAAATAAAACATAATTTAACTTACATTGTTATGCTTCTATTACTTTCACAGTTCACAACAGTTCAACTTTTGTGAAATGCTCAATGGAACCCTCTTCCTCGTCAAACCTCAACAAATAAAAACCTTAACCAAAATAACCTTGTGCAACCTATTAGTCAGCCCTTCAATATAGATTCTTGGATAACAAGTTTGGCGATGGAACTTTACTAATAAACTTTGTCAACTACCTGGCCTCCTTTACATGCTTCAAAGCTCCTAAGTTAACATATGTGTATTTGAATGTGCTTTAAAGCTCTCATCTACGTGCTTCAATTTTTTTTTGCAATAATTTTAAGGGCAACTTTGTAATTTTACTTTCAAAATTAATTTCATATTAGGCCCCAGCCATGCAATGAAACATCAAAAACTTTAGGGCCTTCTTTTTCATTAACTTCAGTTAAGGGTCCCTCAATGAAATTTTCCCTTAATTCATCACCTTATTGACTATCAAGGAGACTAATTTGACTATTAATTCATGAGATGGAAAGACACATGAGATGTCTAATCATATCAACTTATAAGTCCATCTCATTAGTGAATGACATGTGTTTTAATCTTGTCCCTACACACTATCTAAACACATCATCTTATAAATCCATCTCAGCATACGTGGCAAGCTCATGTTTGTGAAGGAGGGGGGGGCTAGTATTCTCAAAAAGGGTCTGCATGGGTTATGTTGGGACAAGATGAAGGTGCGTGATATTAAGAGAAGAATCTTGTGGAATTTAGGCTAACTAGATTGACCAAACTTCTATGTGAAGGGGAACAAGTGATTAATGGAATCTTTAATACATATTTTTTTCTACTTTTTAAGGTTGTGAGGAGTTTGGATATGTGTCATGGCCCGTGACCATAACACATGATACGTCTACTATATTGCATAGCTAGAAATTTAAATTAAATATTCTGTCATGTGACAGAATAAAAGGAAGGAAGAAAATAGAAGAGTAGGAGGAAAAAATTACAAGGGTCTGCTAGGGTTATAGTTAGAGCATCCCTTGGGAACATTTTGGAGCATTAAATCCTTAAGATAAGCTCATTAATCACTCTCCTACCACAACAACAAAAATGTTGTTTAGAGACATATAATAATTCATCTCTAACCATTAAAAAATCTGTCTCTAAACAAGTAAAGATGGACTTAGAAATGAATATAGTGATGTCTTAAAAAGGGGCGTTGCTAAATAATTAGAGATGAGTTTTTTAAGCCGTCACTAATTAAAAATGAATTTATTCTATTCTAAATAAAAAAGACCATCTCTAATTTTCATGAAAAATCTGTTACTATAAAATACTCTAAAAATTATATAAAATGATATAGACAGAATAAAATAGTCTCTAAATAAAAAATAAAAACTAAATTCCTTAAGTCTATAATGCCATGTCAGTGACACCTCACCAGCCATGTGTGCATCTACATGTGCTAACTTACTTACCCATGTGTGGGTCAACCAATATCACGTCACATATCATGTTGCCACCTCATACCATGTTAGCCACCACTACTTGCCACATTACATATTTGTTACAAAATATGCTAAGGTCAAGATTTGATCCTTTAACCTTCCACCTTTCAAGCCTTCAATCCTCCTTCTTTGCCAATTAAATTGAAATACATATGATGTTATTACATAGGAAATTAAATATATGTTACCTAACTACATATACATATATAAATATTATATTATTAAAAAGATGTGCATATATTGTATTTTATTTTCAATTATTAGTACGATAAAATTATTTATATTACTATTTACATTATATTTTTAATAAAATATTATTTTTGTTAGGAAAATAAACTTAAAATGAAACAATTTTTAATATAAAAATAATTAAGTATATAATTTATTTAAATATGTATTATTTTAGTTTATATTAAATATTTTTTCACTTTTATATCCTCCATATTATTCTCAAAAATTAATAAATAAATAATTAAATTTTTATATTCTCCCAAAATGGTAAATGTTTCCCATTCTTTTCTGCCAAATAAATTTATCTACAATTTTTAATTATTTCTTAACATTATTTTTTAAAAATAAGTATGACCATGTAAAGTTTTGTTATTATCATTTTAAAAATTTTTAAATTTTTTTAGTAAATACTAAGAAATTTTAAAATATAAAACATTTAAATT